TAAGACACTAATTCTTCTTTGATGGCTTATTTTTCTCTTTCATGGTGGTTCCACTATCTGAATCAGCTCATCCTTCACTAGAAAGTACATTGAATCAGCTCATTTTGGAAGTCCTTTTCCAGATGATACACTGAATCAACTCATTCTGGACGTCTCTACCAGATGCTACTTATACATTTCTATGTGGTAATTCTTCAGAGGTGTCCTTTCGTGGGAGAATCAAATGTGGCTAAATATTAAAAAAAAAAAAATTACATTTCAGATGTTCTCCTGATTGCTAGGAAATGTAATTCCCTTGAGTTCCAGATATAACATGCCAATGCTCTGTCTCTTATTCAATCAAGTGCAGATTTCAATATTTACTATTTAGTTTATTCCTGTCAAGATTATTTTTACTCATGGCATAGCAGCTCATAGAATGATTCAAAAATCCCCCCCCCCCCCAAAGTACAAACTTTGAGCTCATAGCTCCATCATCTCTTGACCGATTTCAGATCTAATTATAGTTTTGGACTCGGGAAGTCAAATCCTTTCGATTGATGTATTTCATCACACCAAAGGTTTCATAGATTAATTTACTCTACTCCAGTCTTAAATAATTTCATGTACCACGGCTATTGAGGATCCCCCCTTGTTGAAGTACCTTCAAGTGATCTTTTGGCTTTTCATGCCGACTTAAAAGGGACAACAAATGTTTTCTTCCTTTGATCCAGTGAAAAGGTGTGCTAAAAATTAAGGAACAAAAGCAAAATACCGAATCATGTCATGTGCGAATGAATACTGATGCATTTTATTTGTACCTCTTCTTAAGTAGTGGTTTGTAATAAATCATTATTAATTTCCTTCTCCTGTCACATATTTCAGTCAATATTTAGCCATTTATCTGGACCACCAAAATCAAATACACGTTTCTTCTTCAAAACTATTTTTGTCAAGACAAACTATGTTTTCTTAATGTCGGAGACATCTTACAGGAAATTGTAGCAATGGTAATTCCTTACGTTGTTCTCCTTGTAATCATTTCACTTTCTTTTAAAAGTGATATGCTGCAAAATAGTGAGAAAATTGGCATTTTGGTTTTCTGAAAAATGCTTTTTCTGGTTTTTCCAATATTGATCACCAGATCGATGGCACCTTTCATGAACCATGTTTTAATTATAACTTTCTTAACTACCATTCATTTGAACTTCTTAAAAACTTAAAAATAATTTTGCATGCATCATGAAAAAAAAGTAGTATGTAGAGCTTGGGCTTCACTTTCCATACCACCTTAACTTTTACATTTTGAAATTTCCAATTACACATTTTTGAGATATACTTATTCTATGCTCTTATTCAGGTAAAAAAAAAAGTTTGGAGAGGAAAACCTAATGTTCCACTCTCATTGGCTACCTGCAACATACGTACTTAACCAAGGGAAATATAACAAGAAAGATACAAAATGTACAGCAACCTTTGTCAATTTATCTGTTCATGAAAGTTTTTATTTTGCTACCATGGGTAGTTGCCTACTTTGCCTAACCCATAATGCCTGACTTCTGTATATTCCTTTATATAATAAAAATGTTATATTGGTTTCCGGTTTAATAATAAAATTATGAAATGTGTCTATTACAAGCTTAGGCAATAGTTAGCTTATACAAAATCATCTTGTATTAAAAATAAAGCACTTGTTATGAATTTTATCCATTGTTAATGGTTTTGAAAATTGCGAGTTTCACAACTATTTGTTTTTCATTTTTCCTTTAAGAATAAGTGAAGTGAATAAACATTTTGGGTTTGTTTAAAATAATTTTTTTTTATTTATGATATATTTATTCAACAAATGAACAGTAAACAAGTTGTAAATAATAAATTTATAGGAAAATGTCCTAAACTAAAACACAGTATATTTTCAAATAATAGTTTTTTCCCCTGATATTAAATCTAAATCACATTGGTTACCTTACATTGATATCAAATTAAGCAAGTGACTATATCAAACTCTTCCTTGCTTATATTAACCCTAATTCTGTTTACCTAGTTCTAATATGGTTTAGTAGCAAAATGCAAACAGTTTTTAATATAATAAAAAGATTACATGAGATAAATAAATAAGTTCATTCTTGTCATATGATAGTGTATATATATATATATATATATATACACTGTATATTTAGGTAAACTACTTTTCATGCTAGAAGTAGTAAAATATAAATGTATTAATATTTTTTAAATTTTAAATGTTTGACTAAAAACAAACGGAAAAGCTTGGAAGAACCCTTGAAATGTAGCCCATGCAACAGTGACAATAGGCTGTTCTTTAGAACAACCTAGATATATGCATATCATGTTGTGTGGTACTATGTAAAATTTGCTAAGGAACTGAAAACTTACTTCATTACTCATGAAATTCACCGCTACACTTTTTTTAAAGTTACAAACTTACTTTACCACAATACAAGCTTATTTGACACTTACCATCTATAGAACTAGTCCACAAAACCAAATTTTATTAAAACATTTGTTCTTTTACATAAAAAATCTGTTTCGTATATGTAAGTTAAACTGAGTCAACTGTACATATTACATTTCGTACTTAAGTCCTACTTATATACATAACAAACAGCTCAACCTATTAATTGAAGATTAAACAACCAATAATCATTTTGAGTCTTCAAATCTAACCATTGGTACGGAAACACAATATAATCTGCATAATTTCCATCACTTAGAATTGTGTTAATGAGCTTTTAAAACCCAATTTGCATGATCAACTAAATTGGGCTCAGTCTACATATGTCAAATGCTGTATGCATATTAACAGTTAAAATTTAAAAAGTCATCCCTACTAAATGACAAGCTATATATAGCTGTCACTATGAGTATTTCACACTGAACAACCATTCAAGTAATAAACATGCTGCCATAGTGGTTACTTATCATACAGGGTTTGATTTTTAACACCATTGTGGTCTAGTAGCCTACCAATTGTATTGAATAGCCAATACAATCATCAATTCACTTTGTACATTTGTTTATCCTTGAACAATTTTGGTACTAGCACGACCAAACTTGGCAGGCAGACTTGGGGTATCCCAAGAAATGACATTCTTATCTACATGAAGTAGTCCCCTTACCAAAGGGAGCAAAAACGTGGTCAGAAGAGTTCTAGGGGTAGGTTTTTAGGGTCATTGAACCTAAATCTGGCATCAGATTTTGTGTTCCTAGTCCTCATTGAGATCCGGAGGTGCCATGTTTGAAACTGTTTTCATACCCCTACTCTCATGCCAGTAAAGTTTCACGATATACTGGTATTATCACCGATTCCAGTAATTTTTGAAGATGATAAAAGTAGTGTTTGTATATTTGTGGATTACTTTAAGATTTAGGTTGTTTTTTGTTTTTTTTCATCTTCTTTATTCACTTTGGATCCTGTGCGCATTGGACTGATTCACATGAAACTCATTCTGAAGAAGACAGACCAATGTAGTATGTTCCATCATCAGCAGAACTTTTCCTTATGTTTATAAATTGTTGTTTGCCTACATAATAATATGCTTCCTTAAACACAGTAAATGCAGTACAAAATGGCACCCAGACAAACCTATAAAATCAACCAACGAATAGCAGAAACATCTATCACCAAATCCTTTTCACATGTTGTGGCACACGAGACAGATAATAAACAATGACCACAAATACTGATGACATAAACATCAAATGACTAAAGATATGGTTCCAATCTATAGTTTAGAAAAGGAAGGCTTCATAAAGTTATTAAAAAATTTAAGAATAACAAATACAAACTCCCATATCAGAAGTTTTTCACAAACAACTTAGTATTATATAAATGATTGCCTTTGGCAAATAGCTGAAAAGTTAACCAATTTAATTTTTTTTCCTGACCTGTAGTGAAGCCCAACAACTGAGCTATATATCAGCACTATAGTACACTACACTGATTTTGATATAAAAGTATGTGGCAAGTGCTTGCAAATGTTGAACTTCCCTAAAGACCATATAGATGAAGGAATAACACAAAGTTTGCAAGTTGGCTGTGTCTGCTGGAGGTCAATAGAAGAGAAAGCAAATCTCTATCACTACAGATAGGAGATCAAATGCCAAAGTTGCATCACTACAGATAGGAGAGTAAACACCACCAAATCTGCACCAATACAAACAGTGAATCAAACATCATGTAATCTGCATCACTACTGACAGTAGATTAAATATCATCAAATGTGCAGAACTAAAACTTATATTACAGATACAGCTTCATCTTACTATCAGAGTTTTACTTTAATAATATTAACACTGTATTTGTCTTTGGTTATCTAGAGTAAATAATTTACTTTTAATATTGAGTATTAAGTTATACTTCATACTGATGCTTCTGTTTCTATATTAATAAACATACTTAAAATTATTTTTTTATCCATGACAGGATAAAATCTTATCTTTCAATCTGTTCATGACCTTAATTTGTGAAAACTTTCAGGAAGGAAAGCATGTTATGTTTTGTAAATGATTTAAACCTTACAAAAATAGGAAATTGGGACCATAAAGTATAAAAGTAGTTTTTTAAA